AACTAGAGTGAAAGAACATAGAAACCAGAGATCCAATTGTTCTTCTATCATAAACGAACATAGATTAAATTTGAATCATGATTTCGATTGACAGGGTGTACGAATATTAGACCATGAAAACAATTATAATAAAAGAATGATCTCAGAGATGTTATAAATCAAATTACAAAAAAACTCTATCAATGTAATGTCAGACACCGAAACATTAAAACCATACTTTGCATTTGTGGAATTATACAAAAATTTATATTATGTACGATAAGGATACTTATTATCATCTTCGACAAACATGTTGACATGGTTACGTGGATATGAGAGGGAATTTGACTATATATACATGTTATATTGTGATAGCTGTGTATCAGTGTTTTTTGGATGAAACATATTATATTCTTTCTCAATAGAGTTTGTTTTCTGTGATTTCAAGAAAAAGTTCCTTACAAACCTTCACATCGAGACACTGATGCAAAGCTTACCTTAATTTGTGGCGAGACATCTATTTCTTTTTTATTATTTATTTTTTTACACACCTCATTTTTTACATATTTTTATAAATTTTATATTTTATTTCTTATTTTTTTATCTTTTACTTTTTGATGTTCTGTTAAAGTATTTTTGGACTAATTTGACTATCTATTCAAGTTTCTTTCGTATTGTTAACATTTAAAAGACCTGTAAAAATAATTTATATATAGATATATACTGCCACTGAGAAAGACCCAATCCAAGGGTCGAACATATGGCAACAAAAATAGCATCGGTTGAATTACAAATAACATCTTGTATTGCTTTGTATTTACNCTCTCAACGTAATATTTATTTAAAAATTTTACAAAGCTGTGAATTTACATTCCAACTAAAAAGAAAAAAAGCGCCAAACCTGAAACTAAAAAAAAAAAGGAAGAAGAAAAAAAAACTCATCATCAAACAAAGGAGACAGCGAAAAAAGAAAACACTCCATATTTATATTGTAAAGGGCTATATTTGAAACATGTGGAAGATTAGATAAGTTGCTAAATTTGTGACGAATGACATTATTGCTTGTGTGCAAATATAGAAGACAATGATGATGAAGTTATACGTGTGTGCCTTCGTTGTTAACCCAGTAAATAATGAATTTTGTATCATTTGNTAATAAGTACCCTATTTTGCTTACAACAATGCCCCGTCTCACTACACCCGTGGGACAAGATGGAGCGAAATAAACTTTTCTAAATTATTACTTTTTTAGTATGAAAAACTTTAAAGAGATGATTAATGTATAGTTTAATCAAAAAACAATTACCAAAGAATAATTCAGAAGTAAAGTTGTTTCGTTGATTATATATAAAAGTTTGTGTTTTATCCATCATTAAACCTTAACTCCCGTCTTGCTTCCTTTAAATGTTTAAAAAATGAACTTTATATATCTAATAGATATCCACTAGAGGTAATGTGGACATTCATTAGATGTTTCCAATTTCTATCATGGATGTCTAATAGATGTCTGGAATATTCTGTTCTGTGTCGGTTCTATATTACGCAGCAGTCTTACAACACATGGGTTTGCTCTAATACAATTAGAAATTTGAAGGTTTTTTTTTAACTATACAAATCCTTTTGTAAGAAGTGCAATTTTCAAGAGAAAGCTTCACAAATGCTTAGCTTTAGATTACAAAATTTATAAAGATTTACCAAGCAAAGGCAAACAAATAAAAATAACAGATGTTCTAGAAAACGAAGAGCATAGAAATCAAAATACTGCAGAACAAAGGTCAGAAGTGTGAGAACATTTTGCCAGAAAGAAAACGTTTAAGTGATGAAAAAAAAAATTATCANGCACTATCTAACATTAAGATATATATATACGTTTGATCAATCATAAGTGGTACTTTTGATAAATATATCTTTATATCTCGATAGTTATAAAAACACTAATGTAGGTTTATTATTTGTATTGTATCTTTCCCGGAAATATACATATTATTAACATTTTTTCCTTGTGCGGTACTCAATGATATTAATAAATTCCGCATTTATAATAAGCAGTCGATCTTAACAATGACTGTAACCTAACCTCTTTTTAATTCAGTCTGATGCTCGTTACGAACAGTGACAGTTCCGCGTTTAAGATTCATAGACACGCGAATCAGTCACTTTTCGTCAGGCAACGACGAATACCTTGTGCCGGCGGCGTAGCAATATTATAGTTAGTAAAATGTTTGTATTAAATAAAGTAAAACGTAATCAATGAATCATGTAGTGATATACCGGTCAATCCGGAAGAAATTGTTATTTCTGGCGTGTCTGATAGGTTTCCAACTTCAAATAACATAAAACAATTGCAAGAACATTTATTTATCGTAGTCGATCTTACTACAAATAAGCATAGTTGATGGACATTAGGTAAGTAAANTATAATTCATTATGTAATTAATTTGTACAATATTTAACAATTAATAAAAAGCTTCTTTAAGTTTAAATCTAAACGCGAAATTTAAATGGTTGTAGAAATCTTACACTGGATGTTTGTTTTGTGAAATAAGTATATATCTATATATATTTATGTTTTTTTTTGTAAATTTATGCGTTTATGTAAGTTGTTGATAAAGAGACGCATTTTTTGTAAATTTTTATGATATAAAAGCAATGGATATTTCTTACCGATATTAGCGATTCGGAACTAAATCAAAGCGTACGCAACTCCTGAGATAGTATATATGTAGTCCGTTGGTGATGATATGGTAGTTAAAAAACTTATCTTTCTAAAAAAAGATAAAACAGTGCGCCAAGTACACGCACACGACACGTATTACTTTAAATTAAAATTTTAAATTCAAACTAGTATTTATAAAAAAATGTATTTTAGGTTTACTATAAAACATCATTTTCTTACAAAACCTACGTTACAAAAGAAGTGATATAAAAAAGTAGCATTAAATATACTTGTGTACATTTTAAAATTTTTTAAATATTAGAAAAAAATAAAAAGTATAAAATCATTGTATCAATAATTAGACCTTGTCTTTTGTGAAACGTCGAAATATAAAAATTAATTAAGGCAAAAAAACTTAGCGTGATTGCACCTTAGTTAATAAATAAATTGTGTTTATCATGAACGTGTGCATGAATCTGATAATAACTAATCAGTAATGGTTTATTAAATAACAATATTAAATAACAATATTTTTTGTGAAGCATTACTGTTATACATATATACATAATAAATATATTTATGTTTTAATGTTGGAGTATTAATAAATTTTGTAATTCTCATATTCTTCAGCATATTTAAACAAAATATTATATTAAATTTGAAACACAATATACAAGATCTGTATTGAGCTCAAATGGTTCTTAAAACAATATATTATATTAAACAATTAAATTAACATGCCGTTGTTAATTATATAATGATACAAACGTTTTGGCCCTTACTTGAGCCTTCTTCAGTGTAACAAAAATTTAAAATTTAACAGTAACGCACATCTTGAAACGCACTTGAAAAGTTTGGAGTTATTTTAATTTGTTATTACCTCGAGCGGTTTTATTGTTACCATTTTACATTTAAAATATTATATATTTCAAGTAAATTATAACAGTGGAGGAAAAAGGCCAATTCGAACAAGACTAAGTTCTTGTGGTGTGTATGTAAATTATAACAAAGTTTTTGTTTTATACACATAGATTTAATCGTCAATGTAAAAATAAAAGATTTGTTTTATATAAATACTTTAAGAGAAATAGAATTGTTCTCTCTAAACCAGACGAGTGAAAATCTTGTCAAAAGTTTGCATTTGCTTAATAAGAACTATTACACTTTTAGTGCGATGGTGATTAGTTTGGTTTTGATAGTCAAAATTATATATGTGACATATAAAATAAATTAAAAATAGCTCGCGCGCGCGTAGATAAAACACGTCTGCTGTAGCTTTCGGTGTAGCCACGCCAAGTTTTTTTGCCTTAAGTAGTTTTTATATTTTGACTTTTTAAAAAAGACAAGGTCTAACTATTGATACAATAATTTTTTATTTTTTATTTTTTTATAATATTTACAAAATTTTAAAATGTACACGTGTACTTGATGCTACTTTTTCATATCACTTCTTTTATAACGTAGGTTTTGTAGAAAAATGATGTTTTATAATAAAACTAAAATACATTTTTTAAATAATTACTAGTTTGATTAAACCAGCTAAATTTTTCTTCCTTACATATACATATATAATAACTGTTTTCAATACACAGTCTATTAATAAATATAGCATTTACTTTATATACCTATCTACCTACTGACATTTTAGTTGTTGGTACAGTGTTTAACTTAAATTTATTTTGGCTTATTAGTTTATTTTTTTCTGATAATAAGAATATAAAAGGAATAATAAGTATTTCTTTTGTTAAAGTTACTTCTTTTTTAATAGATTATACTCACTTTTTCTCTTACTCTCTCTCTCTCTCTCTCTCTCTCTCTCTCTCTCTCTCTCTCTCTCTTTCTCTCTCTCTCTTTTTCTTATTCTTCCTCATTCTCTCTCGCACTCTTTCAATCTGTTTTATTTTTTTATCTCGCAATTTTTCTCTCTCTTTCTCTCTTATTCTTTTTTTCTTACTCTCTCTCTTTTTCTTTCTTTTTCTCTTTCTCTTTTTCTCTCTCTCTTTTTCTCTCACTCTCTCTCACTCTCTTTCTCTTGTGAAAACTACCCTACAGAAAAGACAAAATGTAGATGTTAGTATAAGAGCAGAACAACTTGCAGATAGTATAGTAGACGCGTTAAATATAGTNGCGCCGATGAAAAAATTTAGAATTTTAAAAATATGGAAACGGAAAAAATGTTTCTCAGATGAATTAAGAGAAAAAAGCAGCTGATAGAAGAGATAAAGCATACAAGAAAACATTATATAACAATACTGAGCAAAATTGGTTGCAGTATAAAATTGAAAAAAATACAGTAGTAAAATACTCAGGGGAAAAAAAATATTATGAAAATATAATAGATTCTAATAAAGAAAATCCTACAACAATGTGGAAAGCAATGAAAGAAATAATTAGAAACGAGCCAATAGATATGCAAAGGTAGTAGATTTATATATTTATTCTTTGTAACAAACATTATTATTTGCAACAAACATCCAGCGTAAGGCTTCTACGAACATTCAAATTTCACGGTTGGTTTTATTTTTTTACAATATTTGTATAGCAATATATAAATNAATATCACACTAATATGGCATTATACCATCTGTTATAGAACATCCGGACTTACCAAAGCGTATAGGCGTAATTAATAATTTAAATAAATTTGATGCGGAATTTTTTAGTATGAGTGACCATCAAGCTCATACACTTGATCCTATTTTAAGATTATTTTTGGAACATACATATGAAGCCATTGTTGATGCAGGAATCAATCCAGTACAATTAAATCAAAAAAATGTTGCTACGATTGTTGCAACATCTATGTTAGAATCTCAAGAAGCATTTTTATACAGGGACTGGCAGGTGAATATATTTTTTGATGTTTGGTGTGGGTTTGTAAAGAAATTTTCAAAATTTGTTTGTGGGGTATCGGGGTAGTTTGAATTGTTTGCGTAGTGTTGTGCAATTAATAAATCAATTGATTTTTCTCTTCAAACGTTTCAACTTTATTTGAAGTCTTCTTCAATAGATTACACTAAATATGTTTGTAGCAAGTTTGGATTATATCATATATTAATGTAAGTTTTTTCATGTTTTATAAAATAATTAAACATACTTCTTAAGTTGAACAATATCTCTTCTGATTTTTAGCATGACGAAAGTAACGTGTTTTATGTCAGTTGAATAAAATAAAATTAATGTTGATCGATGTGTGTNATGTTATGTAGTATGAATTTTTCGTCAGTATTGTGTCAGAGGCAAAGATTTTACAGAATATATATTACATGTAAATATTGATAGTGACATCTATACAACGTGCTCACATTAATTTTTGCTTAACTTATTTAAAATCGGTAAATATGCGTTGTCTAATATTTCTGTGTTTTGCATGACATTAATACTGTAATTGTAGTATAGTTTAATTTGTAACATTTCTGCAATTAATTGTTTGAAATAATTGGGTTTGTTATCAAGAATGTATAATAGCGTTCCACTTGAAGGAATGTTTAGCGTTAAATGCATGCTAATACAGAAAGTTTGTTCCCCGATAAGAAAACATTTATGAAGGTATTTGACAAATCTTGCATAAAAATTGATTGATTTGCAATTATGTAGATATAGTTTGAGAAATAGATGTAAAAATATTGATCTTTTATAAAATATTTGTCACTGTTTGCAAAATTAATTTCCAAATACTATTTCGGCAAAACAATAACAATATGACNAATCATCTTAGCAGTATGTTTGCAAAATTAAATTTAAAAAAAATTGTTCAATAATTGAGACAAAATGTTTAGCTATGTGATGTTTAAAACATGTAGAAATATAATTGCATATGAAGAAATCAAATTTATGTATATGTGTATACTTATAGAAATGCAACTCTTTTGTACTTTTTGATAAATATTATCTACAAAATTTTATTTTGACACAACTGTTGCGTTATGGCAAATCATCTTAGTGCAATCATTGCAAAATTGTCGTTATTTATGTTGCTATTTTTGTGCAATATTTTCACAATTTGTTTATTGAGGTTGGTTTTGTTTTATCTGTGCAATTGCATGTGTTCTTTAATTCGTGTAATTGTCTTTTTGTTTGTTTCTTATAAATGGCTTCATATGAACTGTACGAAATATTATATTAGTAAATATAATATTATATTAGCAACTAAGTTCTCGGTGTTTTTTTCTTGAAAATTCAACTTTATTGTGAAAAAGTGGTTACAAATGAATCATTTAAAGTATTGCCCATCGGTAGCTACAACTTTTTCCCATCTTTCTGGCAGAGCTCAAATGCCGTTACGGTAAAAGTGTTCGTCTTTTGAGGCTACCCACGAATCAAGCCATTTTTTGATGTTTTTATATGAGCGGAACTGCTGATCAGCAAAACCATGTGCCATCAAACGGAACAAGTAATAATCGGACGGCGCAATATTTATGGAATATGGCGGGTGGGGTAGGACTTCCCATTTGAGCGTTTCCACGTAGGTTTTAACGAGTTTGGCAACATGAGGCCGAGCGTTGTCATGCAGTGGAATCATTTTTTCGTGCCTCTGTTCGTATTGTGGCCGTTTTTTGCATACAATTGCTTGAAAATGGCTTGGCGGGTAACTCCTAATGCTGAAGCAAGCTGTTCTTGCGTTCGGCATGGATCTTTATCGAGCAATTCAGTGTTTTCGAAGTTTTTGGCTTTCCTTCACGCGGACGGTCGTCAACATCGAAATCACCGTCTTCAAAGCGACGGAACTAATCACGACACGTTGTTTCACTTAGAGCAGCATCTCCGTAAACTTTTTGGAGCTCTCGATGCGCTTCAGCCGCCGTTTTCTTCGAATGAAATAAGAAAATTAACACTTCCCGCAAATGACAATTATTTGGTACAAAATCAGACAGTTTCACACAACCAAAAGTATATGACGCCAAACCATAATCACTAACGTGTCAAAGCGGTTTGTTTACTATATGTCTAAGCTTAGCTCGTGACGTTTTGGATATGTCAAAATCGACCAGCACTTACTGCTGGAGCCATCTATTGACGAACAGCGGGAACTTAGATGCGCACCTAATATATAACACAATGTGAGATTTTTGGTCAAGAAGAGCCATATGCAGGATTGCCGCTGAATGTTTATTTTGTTTTCGTGTATTTTGTATGTATATATATATATACATAATATATACATACATATATATATATATACAGGGTGTCCCGGAATGACTTTAACATCTCTCGTAGGCAGGTAGAAGAAGTAAAACTGAGTCGAAAAGTCCTGAACCATTTTTTT